ATTATTATTATATTTAGTTTGAATTTAGCTATAGTTTTAATTCAAGTCAATAATATATTTAATGATCATACAAAATATATTATAATTTCCTTTAGCTTTAGCATGTACTTTTTTTTTTTTATACAAAGCAACATAAATATTTGAAGCAAAAAATAAATAATAGATTAAGTTATTAGCGAAATAAGTTGACTCTCTAATGTTTTCATTTTTGTATACCTTCATTAAATCCATTTCTAGTGGCTTAATTTTCATCTACTATAAATAACATTTGTCACACTGTGCGCTCGCCGCAGTTCGGAGAGTGACAACGCGAGAGCATTGGGCAGAGCGTAACACAATGTATTATTTAATCCCACAGGCTTCTGACTAAATGTGTTTTTAAACGCTGATTATCATTCTTGACCTTATCGATATTCGCCGTTTGAGCCCTTATCGCCAGGGACCGTCCGCACTACCATCGCGCCGACCGGCGCTTATCAGTTCTTACTTTTCTTTACAAGTTGTTTACCTAACTTGCAAATAGTTTTTTTTTGTGTGCTTTGTTTTGATTTTGTTTTACGTTTTTCATTACAGTATTCTCCGAGGTGTTTTTTACGATTTGTTTGTTGTTTGATATTTTTCGTTTTGTTTTTGTTTTTTTTTTTGTAGCTGTGATTGCATTCAATATCAAAGAGCACAGACGAAACTGGTTACAGCCGCCGTATACCAATTTTTTGTAAATACATGGTTAATAATAATTATAAATTTGTTGTTTTGTGTGCGATTCGTTGAATCCGTCTATTTCATTATAGCCAAATTGTTTTTAATTTATACGTATTTAATTATGGCGCCTGACAAATGCATATTGACTATATATGTATTTTTGACTGGATAAAAATAATAGTAATATTATTATTCACATAGTAAAGATATTTTGTGTTTATTATTTTCTCCTGAACTCTTGCAAATGCTTTGAAGCATTTAATTATTTGTATTTTAATGAATATGTATTTCAATTTGAATGGAAATTGTGCATAATTAAGCAGTTCGCTATCAAAATTTTTAGAAAAACGCTATTAGATTTTGTTTGCTTGAAAATACAATTAATGTTGATGACAAGCCAAGTAATTTTGTTTTGTTTAATTGGAAGAGTGTACGGCAAATATTTGTTGAATATGAAAAAAGCTTTAAAATGATATTTTTGAAATTGTACAATTGTTTGGGTTTTTGGTCCAATAAAAAATGAAATTTGTATAGCGTTATAATTATTAAATGAATGTGAAAAATATGAGGCTGAATTTGGCTTTACTTGAGCTTAGTTTTGCATTACATTTATTTGCTTGTTCGGTAAAACATTTTTTTTTTTAAATTTTAAATTATTTTGTTTTTAAATTTACCATAAAATAACGAAGTTTTATCTAGCTTCTTTGCTGTAAATATGAGAAATTATAAAAATATTTTGATATTCTCTTTCTTAACATTAAAATTTACTATTTTTTGTATCATTTAAATTTGAACTTTCAAATTAATATTTTATTTAATTTGTATGTAACGTTAGCTAGGCTAAATTCTATACAATTCTGCATTATACTGCAGTCTATTAAATATTTGGTTGCTTGCAAATTTTGATGAACAATTTATATATCTATATTGAGACATATGTATTTATATATATGTTTGTGATTTTGAGCACATTGTACTCTGTGGTTTCTATTGT